CTCTTGCTGCTTCTAGGATTCTCTCCTTCATTTTAATCTTGGCTAATGTAATGATGATGTGCCTTGGTGTGTTCCTTCTTGGGTCCAACTTCTTTGGTACTCTCTGAGCTTCCTGGATTTCCTGGAAGTCTATTTCCTTTGCCAGATTGGGGAAATTCTCCTTTATTATTTGTTCAAATAAGTTTTCCACAGGTGGCTGTGCCTTTCCCCCTTCTGGTACCCCTATAATTCGGATGTTGGAGCGTTTAAAGATGTCCTGGAGGTTCCTAAGACTCTCCTCATTTCTTTGAATTCTTGCTTCTTGACTCTTTTCTGTTTGGCCATTATTTGCTTTCTTCTGGTCCACTCCATTGATTTGAGTCCCAGTTTCCTTTTCATTGCTATTGGTGTCCTGTGCAATTCCATTCATTTCAATTAGTTTCGCCTTCATATATTTGTCTAATTTGTCGGTATAATCAACCAGTTCTGTGAGGATCCTGATCACCAATGTTTTAAACTGTGCGTCTGTGAGTTTTGCTATTTCTTCATCGCTTAGATTTATTGGCTCTGGGGCTCTGAGATCCTCCTGCGCCATTCTTGGTCTGTTCGGGCCCTTTAAGAAGCGGCGCCTTGGATTCCCAGGTTGCTGGGTTGTGACGCTCTATGTGGGGGCGTGGCCCGAGCGGGGAAATGGCGACCCCCTCTGCCGCTTCTCACAGCAGGGTGCGGAGGAGCAGTGCCTTAGGTGGTTCACCTGGGCCAGGCCGCTCAGAGTCGCTGGGTTATGACGCTGTATGTGGAGGTGGGGTCAGAGCAGGGAAATGGCGGCGCCCTCCACTGCCGCCTGCCATGGGGACTTGCCGGCCAGGTCCAACCGCCCACTCCCTCGCCTGTCCACCCTCGCACAAATGCGCGACCTCAGTCAACACGCAGCCCCGGGCCCGGCTGTCTCCCCCGCGGTCGCTGGCCTGGTTGCTCGCTGGGTCGCTCACTAGGTCTGACCCTGCGCCTGGATTCCGCCGGCCTGAGTGTGTCTGGCCGAGACCTCCTGTGCAACCCTGCTCCGCCAGCCGCTGGTTTCGCCCCTTACCGGTCAGGCTGAAGAATTTGTTGTTAACGGACTTCCGAAAAGTTCAATTTTCTGTGTTCTGGCTGTGTTTTCTGTTGCTAATATTTAGTTTTCTCTAATCTTGGTTGTGTGAGAAGGCACGGCACATCCACCTATGCCTCCATCTTGGCGGAAGTCCTACATGATATGTTTTAAGAGGACTTGACAAAAAAGAGAAAGGCTTTAGTTCAGAAATACTTCTCCTACTGATTCCCGAAATCTCAGATATGCAATTTAATTCTGTCTTAATTACTGCCTTCTTTGGTCCCATTTTTTAAAAAATGATCCTCTTCTGGGCAGATTTATATGAGAAATTCTCAACTCTTTTTTTAAACCATTAGAACCTTTATTCTTTTTCTTAGGATGATGTATGATCATTTTCTACATTGGATTAATTTGAAGATACCCATTCCATAATTTATAGTAAAACTAAAATTATGCAGAAAATGCAAATTAAGGTAAGAAAAAGAAATAATATAAATGCTGCTGATGGTTGTAAAAAATATCCAAATAAAGGACCAAAACAAATAAATACAGTGTTTACTGATGGTTGTCTTGGGGTGGCTAATTATAATTGTTTTTTCTTTACTATCTTTTTCAAGTCATCAGCAATATAACTTCATTTATTTTTACTGAAAAAAATGGGTATTAAAATGGTCTTCTCTTTCTGATCAGCAAATCTGGGAGTAGACGCCTAGAGACTGACCAGAGAAATTCCCAGTTCTTAAGGAAACTCATTTAACACCTTACTCCAGAACTGAGGAGGACGGACCAGTCAGAGTTCAGTTCTTTGTATAGATGCTCTAAGTCCATTCATTTGACCATGTGTAACAGGAAAGGTTGGGCTGCTTGATTCGTTTTGCTTCTCTTTGTGGAACTCTGCATCCTCCGTACGGAGGGAACCCTGAACTGAAGAGCAAAGTCTAAACGTGTGTTCACCTGCCGTATTATATCTAGACAGTGAGAGCACCGGTTCATTTCCTCAGGGTAACTGCCTCATTGTCTTCTTCACAATCCCACGCAAGATGTCCTGGGATTACAACAAGGATTATTATGTTAATCAAACCCCTTGTGGAGATCTCATCCAATTTTGCAAGTTAGATTAGGTGACACAAGGCAGGAAACTGCATTCATTGGGTCAGTGGAGCCTTGTACTGAAGTATTTAGTACCACGCTACCTCCCCACTCATTCGTAGTGACTTACACCCAATTGCCTTATAGACTTTAGGACAAACTGTCGGGTGGGAAGAATAGTTAGGTATTATTTTGTAGCTAAGTGTATATAACTGTAAGGGTGTCACAACAATGGTAACTGTAATATGTGTAGGTGTGTGTGTAACTAAGGTATATAAATACACTAGATCACCTTCTCTGTGGAAGTCGGAGTTGAGTCAGAACAGCAGGCTGGGTGTTCTGCTGAGGTGGTGGTTTAGCAGAGGCCAGACATGGTCTTGGGCAGAGATTAGAAATTCCTGGTTTGACTGACGTTACAAATTGGGCATGGTGCCCATGCCTGTGTGTGTAAATATGCATGTATTTATCCTGACTCCTGACACTTCTGAAATGTTTATCAAATACTGTAAGTCCTTTTTGCTTTTTCCTGATGGATTGGTGGAATATGAAAGAAGAGAGGTTAAATCTGACCCTGAGGTTCCAAACCACAGCTCTTGCCTTGTTCTAAATCTTCCTCATCTGAATCTCTGATCATCTCTGCTTGTTCTCAGACCGCCTGCCACCTTCAACTCGGTAACACTCTTGTCTCTGAGGATCGGTTGCCTGCTGCACCGTCTTCTAAAGTTATCTCCTTGTCTTTAGTTTTCTCTCGGCTGGCCTTTCAGGGACTAGTGAGCACTCACAAAAGTGGTCCCTGTCTGGTATCCTCTCAGCACCCTTGGTCCTGAAGACAGTGTAACAATGAGGCAGTGAGGACCGCTTCACACCTCTTTGAAACAAACAGCAGAGGATGGTGACCTTTTTGCCAACTCTCTAGCTTAAAGCCTTTGCAACAAAAGTGATGGGACAACTTGTCAAGTGTTTCACAAATTGGGGGTCTCAATTCTTCCTGTCTCAGTGAGTGAAGGTCACTTTAATAGGTTTCCCTGTCCCAGTCTGTAAAAACAGGGTAATGCCACTCGGCTTGAGATGAAAATCAAACCGAAGGAGGGAGTTTAAAATATATTTAAACATTTACCATACTAAGCTCTTTTTATATTAAAAAAGTTAATTTTACGTCATATTATATTTAAGCCCCACATTAAGAAGTTGTTTTACATGGTTTGATCCTCATGAGGTAGGATCAGATTTTACAGGTGAAGACATTGAGGTTGGTTACATACAGGTTGGTTACGTTGTGTGTACAAGGTCACACAGCCAGTACATGGTAGGGCGGGCATTCCACCCAGGTCTGCTGGACACCGGGCTCCTTGCCCTTAACCACCTCACCTGCGGTTCTTCCATGTGACCACTGGATCCCTGGTGTGCCTGTTATGTGCAGACTCCCAGGTGCCACTCTCAGAGTCGGGCTGAGCCTGGAGATCTGCCCGGTGGCATCTGAGCGGCCTAAAGTGTCACAGCCACCGTATCTCATTATACTGCCGCTAAATGGTCGGAAAGCCTTCCGCTCGTGAGTTTATGGTCCTGGCAAATCCTCTAAGGTTATGTGCAGGAGTCTAAACCTAGGATTTCACAAATAAAAACAAGCAGGTGTGTATTTCAAGTCCATTACTATGTCAGTGTAATAAAATGTGTAAGGTCAGAGTTCATTGGTAGAGAATAATTTCCAAAGTAATTCATTTAAGTGGAAAGGAATCTTTTAAAAGGTAGGATACTAAACAGTATCACTGGGGAGGCTAAATGAAGCAGTGTTTAGACTGAGCATCTAAAAGTGATTTCCAAAACCTCACCACAGAACTGGGCCTCAGAGGCTATTACTCTCACCATGACCAGGATGCTGCCTTGTTGTGAGGAGAGCAGAGGTTCGGGGTGGTGCCAGGCTTTAGGGAGTGGACAGACACTCCCGAGGGTGATCAGCAGGGAACAGCTGGGGGACTCAGATGCAGAACAGAGGCCAGGGAAGCAGGCAGTTCAGAAGACAGGGGTGGCCAACACTGTTACAGACAGGAAGGACCAGCGTTATTTCTTTTTTAAAGACAAGACTAAGAAGTATTGTTGACCTTGATGCCACGTGACCTTTGCTGGGTCAGTTAGTGAGTTTTTCCAGCGCCGTTTCAGGGGGTGAGATAAACAGTAAGTGGACGACGACCAAGCGGAAACAGCATGTGCAGCATGGAAGACAGGCGGCTCAAGGAGTTGAGTTGAGATGGAAAGGAAACAATATGGTGGCTAGAGAAGACCTGGGAGTTTTTATTTGTTGTTGGTTTGTTTGTTAGGTCAAGAGAAACTTGAGCAGAGAGGTCAGAGGGAAAGGGGTCAAGGGCCAGAGGGAGGGTGCAATGTAAGACAGGTGACAGCTCATCTAATGACTGCAGGAGAGAGAGTGGCAAGGGCGCAGTGACAGCACGTGGAGGTGGAGGGTGGAGGGTGGAGTCCTGGTTGTAACCGTAGCCAGGGTCCTGATTTTCCTCTTGAACTAGACGAGGTCGCCGGCTGAGAAGGAAGGGCTCTGGGGCGTGGAGCTGGGGAGCGGTACAGGTTTGGGGCCCGGGCTGTGAGGACGGGAGGAGGACTGCCGGTCAAGGGCATTACGGCCTGAGGAAAACAGGAGATTGGGGATTCAGAGTTGGGCCTCCCTGCCGAAGTAGCGCTGGGTTCGGCGTCCCACAGCCTTAGACCAGACGGGAGAGGCGGGTCATGGGATGGCGGCAAGGGCGGCACCGACTTCCAGTCCAGGACGGTGTTGGGCGCCACGTGTCTCGTCTCCTAACCAAATGTGACTTTTCCTGTTCGGAGGCAGGTGCCCCAGTCGGGAACCCTGAAGCTGTCCCACCTGCAGGAAGGAACGTACACCTTTCAGCTCACGGTGACGGACGCCGCCGCTCAGAGGAGCTCCGACAACGTCTCGGTGACCGTGCTGCCCGCGGCCTCGTCCCCGGGAGGTGAGGAGGAGGAGGCCGGCAGAAGCCAGACTGCTGAGGAGGGAGGGTATCGGTCGGCTTTTCACAGCCTAACACCGCATTCCGCGGGCTTATTCCGGGGCGGGGGTGGGGGGGGGGGCTGTCCAGTGAGACAGTGTCTGCCAAAAGTGCGCCGGCAGGAGCGGTTCCGGTAAACAATGCAAAGAACGCCGCGGGATGCCGCGGGGACACCCTGCGTGAGCCAGCGGCGCCTTCCCTGGGCTCGAGTCCATACAGGGCTTTCCGGGGAAGGATCTCCTTTCAAGCTGGGGGTGGCTGTCCGATATGCACACTCGAGAGTAAGACGTACGTTCAAGACACATTAAAATACGTGCAGTGCATGTGTCAGTATGAAAGGACTGTTTAGACGTTTGCGTGGACCCTTTAGGCGGATGCGCAGGTGCATTGATAACGCCGCTATCGCCGCCTGTCTTGAGGCTCGCGTTCTGCTGCCCCTGTAAAGCCATCTCGTTTTTGTGGGGCTTACTTTCCCAAACATCTACATTTCTAAGATTAGCTCGTCAAGTTAAAAAATCATATGAGCCCTGGCCGGTGTAGCTCAGTGGTTTGAGCACAGGCCTCAAAGGATCTCAGATCGGTTCCTAAGCGGAGCACATGCCTGGGTTGCAGGCCAGTCCGCAGCAGGGGACGCAGGAGAAGGAACCACACAATGACATTTCTCTCCCTCTTTCCTTCCCTTCCTCTCTAAAGACAAATAAAATCTTTAAAAAAATCATATGAAACCAGGACCACTGAGGATCCCCACCTTTCACGGGTGGGGAAGGGTGAGACTGAGATGTCTCGCTTCGGAGGCTCCAGCCGCTCATCAGGTGCGCGGGGGAGAGTCCGCTGTGCGCAGGCGCCGTGCTGGGCGCTGGGCGTGGCTCCGCGACCCGGGCCCCTCCCGAGTGGTGCGCTGAACCTGCGGCGTCACTGGTGAACTTTCAGCACGTCTGTAGCATCTTCGATTTCCTTGATTGCTCCGTGCGTGGGTGGTCATCGGGCCATCAGTTAGAAGACTAAGGAAAGGGATATCGGAATATGACACTGTTGCTGATCCTGTCTTCCATCAAAGACAGAGAGGAATGCAGGCAGTATTTGTACCTTGAGACTTTAAGTTCTCGTTTAAACATTACTGTCATTAGAATTATGTATTAAAAAAGTATTACGCTCATACTCACAAAAAGAAGGGGGAAGCGGGTTAACTTTCCGGTGTGTGCTAGTATTATGTAAAGGGGACATTCGAGATGACACACAGCAGCCACCGCAGCCATCCGAAGGGCCGTGCCGGTTTATCCCCAAACCCGCGCGTCTCAGCGCAACTCCGAGGGCACAAGCACCTCCGTGCACTTCTGCTGTGCGCCGTGTCTGCATGAAGCAGAACGTGTCCCGTGATGGTGGTGTCCCAGGTCTGGGGCAGCTGTGCTTCCGCTCGAGGATATGGTCAATAGCTGCTTGCGGAGGTCAGGCTGCTGTCCCTCCTGGGAGGTGCAGCCTGTGAGCTGCGGGCCTTTGCGCCCACCAACCGGTGGGATCAGGGTGCCTGGGGCCTGCGCCTGCTCGGACCTGCTACTGCCGCTTCTCTGTGTGCTGCATTGGAAACGGAAACCAAGCGGGTAAACTGTTTGCTGAATTGGGGGCGGGGGAGAAATGAAGGAAGGAGATTTTAGAGTCCCAAGGACTTGGCAACCTTGGTGATTTCCCTTCCCCAGGGAATCAGAGCATGAGCAGCCTTCAGAATTTGGGGGGCTGACGCTCAGTCCAGCCAAGGTTTAAGCTGATTGTGCAGGAAGAGGGGTGAGTGCACGTGGAACGGCCAGACTCCAGGGGCTGCCCACAGCAGCTCTGGGAGGCAGGGACCGGGAGGGAGCGGAGCTATCAGTCCCCCCTATGCGAGCAGGCCCTGGGGACATACTGCTGCTGCACAGGGCCAGACAGAACAGTTTGAGTGTTTTCATGTGCTGGGCGAGCACCGGGGCCGTTGGAAATGTGACACTGGCTCCAGTCAGTCACTCCCCAGCACAGGACGGTGGGGCCCAGAGGGCTGCCTTCCTGGGGTGGAGTGTGGGCCTGGGCAGGGACTGAGCAGAGAGCTGATTCTGGGAGGAAAGTGCTCAGGGGAAGAAGACAGAGAAACCCTTCCTTCCTACAGAAGTGAGCGAGGGGTTGCTTGGCACAGCCTGGGAGGGAGAAGGGGCCTGCGCTGAGATGCGCGGGCGGCTAGAGCACCCCGCCCCAACTTGTTCTTCCTGGTTTGTTTACTCAGGCCCATTTTCCAGGCTCCAGAGGTACATTGCTGGTTGTACATTTCTGGCCTTTCTCCAAAAGGATAATAAAATGTGTTCAAAGTGGCAGGCAGTTATTGGGATCACTTTTGATTACTGAAAGGCCTCTTGAGTATAGGTCTAATGTATGTAACTTTATATAGGAAATAAAAAGGATGCTGTACTACTGTCTGCCCTCCAGAGTCACTCACTGGTTAGATTGGAATAACACACGATGAATTAAATAAAACACCACAGAGGCATTGACAACCAGAGATGGGGATGAACAGGTATTTCTGTCCCCCTATTGCAAATACTGATCTTCTAGTTAATGACCCAGCTGTCATGCTAAAAGGGTGGCTGGCCCCTTCTGGGGTGAACAGACAAGCACATACCTCTGCTTATGTGATGACAACTTGGCACATTTTTTGATATAGTGGCTACATGTTCTCAAGCTTTGGGAAAGATAGTCCATTCAAAGAGCCAGCCAACAAACATTTCCGATATGATCTAGATTAATGATCTCCAAGTAGGATCCCTCCCAAGTGGTGAAGACATTTTTAGGATGGAAAAGAAGACACAGGGATTTATGTTTTATGAATTTTTAATCTTCTAAGTTCTCAGTGTATTTTATAACATGCACAGCATTTAGCATAATGGTACATGCATGTTATTTACAGACGGAAGGTGCATATTCACCAATATGCTATGAGTTGGGATGCGTGGTTGAAAGTGTAGAGGCCACCCATCCAGAAAGAGAGGGATAAATTATAAATATGGATCTTTCTCCAAAACTACCATGGAATAAGTAAAACTTTGATGTATTTAGGAGTTTTACATATGGACTTGGGAAAAGTGAGCAAAGGCTGTGTCCTGCTTGGTGTTCAAAGTCCCCTTCACTTTACCTCCGAACTCCACCCTGTTGACAGAAGCTGATTCTCCTTTTTAGGTCCAAGTTCTCAGTCACGACTGTAGGCCCCTTGCTTCCTCTTCTTTCTCAGGAGCTTTAACTAATCCCTCCTCTTCCTCTTAGACTCCTTTGCTGGTCTTTATCTGCCCCTCAGTGGACTGTGCAGCCAGGACTTGGCCTAGCCTGTTTACCACGCCCAGCCATGTGTCTCAGGGGAGTGACATCAGCGCCACTGCTGCATGTCCTGAGAGAGTTCTCTAGTCCATCCCATCCCTGGGAATTACTGGGCTCCTTTTGTGTCTGTAGCCTGAACTCTTTCATCTGCATTCCCAGTCTCAGGAAGTCCCCCAGCTGTTATGTAGCTGAGTCTAGTACATTTGGCTTAATCTGGAGCGGGGAATGCCTCTTAAGAAAATGTATTGTAGCTTCTATGCATTGCGCTGTGGATTAAAAACTCCTAAGAGCTCCAAAAAGGAGACAGTTCCATAATTTAAAGAAAATAAGTTCATACCAGCTAGTGTCTAAAGTTTCTGTTTATTCTTTACTGTATCAAGGGCAGTCAACAACTACGATTCAAGAGGAAAAAGTTAACCCCAGTAAAAAGCATTACTTAGGAAACAGGAATGTAAGCCATAGCATGTATAAAACACGGCCAGCCACCTGAGGGCCATGCAGGGTATAACCGAGGAGATGATGGGATGAAGGAACGAAGGCAGAGGCAGACCCCTGAGCGAGGAGGCCAGGTCAGGAGGGGGAAGACCAGAGCTGCTGCTCCTCTCCTCCCACCTCATAGGCAGTGTCTGCTTGGAGAGCAGCCCTGACATGAAGCCCACGGTGATTCCTGAGAATTAAGTCAGGGGGCCCAAGAAGAGACCCCCTTAAATTTTCCAGAACCTGTTGCTCCAGCTCCGGCTACTGAGTGTTTCCTCAGTATCTGCCTCTTTGCCCACACGCATTTCATCACACATTTAGTCTCTGTCCATCTTGACGCGGTGGGAGTCAGCATTCCCGAGCTCCTGTGACCCGAGTCTTGTTTATAAATAGGATGCTCGAAGGTTTGCTCCCGCTACCACTTCTTCTGCGACGATGGCTGTTGCATCGACATCACCCTGGCCTGCGATGGAGTGGAGCAGTGTCCAGACAGGTCTGACGAAGCTTTCTGTCGCAACTGTGAGTCCGCTGCACGGCACTTGGGGGAGAAGGGGGTGTCTGTATTCTCACAACGAAATGCAAAGTCAGTATCGCTCTTTTTCTGCCCAGTTTCAGGTGAGACTTCATGTGAACAAGCTTTGCCTTACATTAAGCAGCATTTATTCTGAGTCTCTAATGCTAGTTACAAAGGTCAGATATTCTGTATTGCTGATATTTTTTAAGAAATTGTTTTCCATTTTCCAAAAGGTTCCTTACCATCCTAAAAATGCTCTATTAACACAGTTGAACCTCAGTTCTCAAACGTCTTGGTTCTTGAACAATTTGGTTCTCAACCAAGTTGTTCACAGAAAAAAAAAATGTCCTGGTTGTCCAACAGGAATCCAGGTCTTGATTCTCTACCCGACGACCCTTTTGTGCTGACACCTGTATGGTGAGCACGTGCCTCTCGGGTGACAGGCAACGGAGATTCGGTTTTTGAACAAGTTGTTTCTCAAACTGTTTTCGAAATGAATCACCGAGGTTCTGCTATATATGCTTTCAAAAAGCTGAATGAGCTAACACTTTTGTTTTGATCAAACTTTCAAAGAACATTTTCGACCCACTAGGGTGTGGCTGTGTCATCTAAGGCAGTCTTCTGTCGCACACGTAAGCGTGCAGCATAAGGAAGAGGAACAGCCGCAGGAAGTTCCGAGGTGCCGGTTTGGGGAAGGCTGATGACAGACAGACGTTTTGTCTGTCAGTTTATATGTGACAGAAAGTGACTCATTGGAGACATCACTGGGAAACAAGGGAGAGAAGTTTCCATGGGGCTCTGATATGTCTTAAATGGATAGGTTATTATCCCCAAGTGCCCGTGATTTCAAATCTGCTGGAACTTTAGTGGTTTCCTGAAAGTTCAGAGAAGGAACCCAGCAGCTGACTACTCTTCTGCACTTCAGTGAGCCTGGAGCGGAAAGCAACGACTCACACGGCAACTGCCCAGCCTAGAAGCACAGGACGGAGCGAAGATGCAGAACATGCAGCGGGCGGCTTCTCCTCGGAGAAGTTCCAGGAAGCCGCGGCCCCGAACGGGCCACCCGCGCTATCAGACGTGGAGAAGAGGAATCGTTCCACCTTCTGGGGACCAAAGATTCCAACAGATCCTGTGGTGCCAGGTAAGGACTTGAGACAGGTTCTCCACAAAGAGCCTCGTTTTCTGTAATGACACTGGCTGGAGATTTAGGTTATATTTGAAGAGTGTTAAGGAAACATCTCAAAAGAAAGGAGAGTTAAAATGAAGAATTTAGCCAAAGGGAAAAAAAAAACACTTGACATTTGCTCTGATTATTTATAGTAAGAAACACTGACTAAATACTTTCTTACATTCATAACCAGATGCACAATCCAGAGGTATCAACGTTTATTTGTAAATAAATTAGTTAGAAAGTTTTTTTATTTTTAATCCTCATGTGAAGACATGCTTATTGATTTTAGAGAGAGTGGAAGGGAGGGAAAGAGAGAGGGAGAGAAGCATCGACAGGTTGCCCTTTATAGATGCCCCAACTGGGCATGGCACCCACATCGGCCAGACATCTGCCCTGACTGGGCATCGAACCCACGACCCTTCAGTTTACAGGATGATTCTTAACCAAATGAGCCACATCGACCAGGGTTAGAGTTTAAAGTTTTAATGACTGTGTTAAGGAAACTAATGCCCTAAGTGTTGAATTTTAGATTATTTTGAGGTAAAGCAGGGTAACCCCTGTGCATTCACCTGTAAATCCTTCTCACACTAAGTAAATGAAAAGAAAATATGTTGAAATGGTTGCATGGGCTAGTAATTCAGCATTATGCTTTCAGTCTAACTAAATCTGTAATTTATAGTTTAAATAAGGCCTATAATATTTTAAAAAGTATTCACACTGCTGAAACATCACAAGCTTGTATCATTCTAAAATTCTTTTTTACATTTATAGTTAGTTGCATAATTGTATGACATAGGAAAAAGAAATATAGATGATCACATTTATGAATGCGTTTGCAAATATCTTCAGTCCTCAAACTCTGTATAAATTCAGCTGAAATAATGTCACTATTTTAATGACTTATGAAAACTTTTTGTCCGTTGCAGAAGATACAGAGGATACAAATAGTAAAAAAAAAAAAGGCTTAAAATATTGCCCTTTATTGAAAAGAAATTTTAATGTTTTGGTATATTTGCTTACAATATTTTGTCTATCCACTTTGTAGATTTTAAGTGCCTTCATACAAATATGTTTCAAAAATTCCATTCTGGACCTTTTTGACAGTTCAGGTTAGGTACCAGAGGCCTGCTTTCGTCAATTCCTTGTGGATCCTGCCACCTAATGGTCAAATTCAGCACTACAGCGCTGCCTTGGGATTTTAGTCCATTTTCTCTGTATGGAGCGGACAGCCACCTAAGAAGCTGAGTCAGGCAGGGGAGGCCAAGCGTTTTTTGGCAGGAGGCACGAAGAGCTGATGGAGAGAACTGAGCTTTCAGAGGCCAGGGTGGATGGACTCCTGCTGTGTCTCTGTGGTAGAGAGGCCCATGTGGGCGTGAATGAATTCACAGCAGGCAGAGTGGAGACCAAAGGCCAGGTCTGCTGAATTAGGTTCCAGTCTGAGTTCTGGCTTTAGAACCTTGAGAGACAAGTTGCTTCCTATCTCTAGACCTCAGTTTCCCCACAGTTAGCATAGGATTTCAGCCGGGGGACCTATGGCCCCATCCAGCACTGAGTCTGTTTTAGGGCTGCTAGATAGCCTGAGGTTCATACAGCACTGCATCTGCCCTAATTGGTGCTAGGTATTGCTCAGAGATCTGTCACCTGAGAGGGACCAGGACTCAGGTCTGACCCAGCACGGTCTGGAATGTGTGGGTTCTTGACTTTGTGCAGGAAAGATTTCACGACACGAGTCCAGGTGACTTTGAGAGTATGTTTATTAAAATTGGGGATAGTGAAACAAAGGAAGGGCTTAAGATAGAAGAGGCAAGATCACAGCAACAGGAGTGAGCCTGGACTGGGCTGCCGCGACTCAGAAAGGCAGTCACAGTAACAGAAGTGAGCCACATGGGCCGTGCAGACTCAGGAAAGTTACAGAGGCTCAGATAGGCTCAGGGGTGAACCTGGGACAAGCTGCCACTGCCTACTGCTCCCTAGTTGCGAGTCTTGTGGGGACCCTTAGAGCTTAGGGGAAAGCAAGCAAAAGTAAATGCCTGAGAAGAGGCTGGGGGAGGGGTGTGGGTGTGCTCAAGGAGCAGGGACTGGGTCTGTTTCCTTTAAAAAAGGGTTTTTACCTGTTTTCTGAAGGGAGGAGTTTTAGGGGAAGTCTCAGGGGAGGGTCTCAACAGAGCATTCAGCAGCTTTCTGGGTGTGTCCTCTCATATGCTGATGTATTAAAATGAGTGAATAGGGGAATCTGGGATCATTCTCATGGCTTTGCTTTTATCTTGTATTTGTCTGGATCTAATTGGATTTTCTATGGTTTATTCCTGACTTTTTCTGTTCTGGGGTTTGGCTGGCACTACTGGTGCCATCTGGGTCTCTGTTCTCTCTCTCTCCCTGAGCAGGTTGATCTAAGCTGCTTGCTCTCTTGTTGGGGAGGAGAGGTGTCAACCACCTGCTCCTGAGTGTCCTTGGTTAGGGAAGATAAGACCTTGTGATTTATTAGTGGGCTCTTCATTGCTTGGCCTTGTTTAACTTTTCTCAGCCTCCTTCATTCCACTTGCCAAGGGATTTCCTAGCTTCCCACTCTCCTCTCCAACCCCAGTGCTGGGTCCTGGGGAGTGAGGACTCAGCCTCAGAGTCGTTTTGAAAATAACGCGCCAGGCTGCCACCACCAGGCGTGGGAGTTGCCACCCAGTTTGAAATATATTTGCATTCTCAGACACTGAAACACAAGGCTTCGACTTGTGCTATCAAGATGTAAGGAATGGAGTTGGAATGATGTAAGAGATGCAGAGAGATTAGATATCCACTTACTTATAATATATATTGTTTTTTCCTAATTATTAAGGTGATACGTATTTACTGTAGAAAATTTGGAGACTACAGAAAAAAATTTAAATCATCTAGTAAAACTCACTGTAAAGGTTTTGTTGCATTTTCTTTTAGTTATTTTGATTTATATACATAGGCACACACATTTATTTACTTTTAACAAAATTAGGATATTATTTTTGCCAAACTTTTATTTTTCTTATGAGCATTTTTATGTTATTAAACGTCCATCAAAAACACAATGTTTGGTCCTGGCCAGGCATCTCCATTGGTTAGAGCACTGTCCCCATACGCTGAGGTCCTGGGGTCAACAGGGGGCAAGGAAGTGTCAGCCCGTGAGTGCGTAGGTGAATGCAGCAGCAAGTTGATGTTTTCTCTTTCTCTCTCTTCCCTCTTCCTCCCTCTCTAACATCGAATCAATCCATATAAAAAAATGTTTATACCTGTAATGTTTGAAAATGCAGGGTAAAGAAAGTGGGAAGAACAGATCTTTGAAAACGTTAGAAAGGGCCCTCATGGCACATGACTTTCGTTTCACCAAGGGGCAGCCGTCTCCCCTCACCCTTCTGTCATCCCTAAGACCACCAGGCGAGAAGCCCCAGCTTCCAAGTTCATGTGAGCTGAAATGATGTATGTTATACTCTGCATAGCACAGATCAAAAACTGCATTACTGTTCTTGACCTATGCCTGAATTTTATAAGGATCATCAGCTAGCACAAGAAATTTGGACGCGTTAAATTTTCTGCTGCCTCCTTCCCCTGCAGACATGTTCTGAGGATAGAAAGCCTTACCTCACTTCAGACGTGCTGAAGAGATGACAATATTAATACTCGTGATGCAGTACAGAAAGTAGTGAGAGGCAGCTTTTCCTCTATCACACTGACAGAGAGAAAAAGTATAATAATGCTTCTAAGAGTACAGAGAAGCAAGTCTCATGTACTTTTGATGGGATTGACTTAATTTTCCATTATCCAGTTGATTTGTGATCCTTAGTAAATTCATGTATATTTATTTCTCGGTACAAATCACCAAATACATTCATATGGTAGGTTTACAGTCTTATTTCAGTTGCGGGCGCCATGCACACTCTGTTGGTGCCGTGTGAGTGACAAAGCAGTGGATTTACACCCGGCCGTGTGGCCCACTTACTGAACCTGGGCGAGTGCTGATCCTCTGCATCTGAGCAGAAAAACCAGAGCAGGGTCAAGGGGAGAAAGGGAAATAGCTTGTCTCTGGTCCTTGTGTATGCTCTCTGTTCGTTTTTTTATGAAGGAAACTTTCTGCACTTCTCTGCTTTCCACTGTGTTCAGAAACGACCCTTGACTTTCCTAGCTTTCCTTCCCTTCTTCTCTGGGCTGGGGGCCGGGGGCAGGGCCTGTGGCTTTGTACTAGCCACACACTCTGCTTTACTGAATCCGTCACATTAGTTATCTAGTTGGTGATATCAAACATAGGCCTATGTTTGATACTCCCTTTAAATATCAAACTGATGAGCATCTTAATGTTCATAAACTTGCTATCCTTTAAGTCCTTTCTTTAAGTCCATCTTAAAAAAATAAATATGGCTGTAGTTTCATGTCTGTTTCCTAAAATTTCTGCTGTACCTTCAGTATGTGTTCTACTCATTTTCCACAGATAGCGGTTCCTCGAAGAGCAGAAAAGAGGAAAATTACATTTTTGAGTCAAAGAGCAACCGAGGAGGAGCAGAACACCCAGCCCCAGAAATGGGTAAGTCTGCACCTGGAGTGGCATCATGGGGTATGAGGAGTTGCAGAATCACATACCCCCTAGTTGAGTAAGTTAGTAAAGTTTCAGCAGTTCGTGACGAGCGGTGACCTAGGGGTCAGAGCTGTATTCTAAGTGGGAATAGATTTGGGAAGCCTTCAAAAACAGAAGGGACAGTGCTTGCTGGAGGTGCTGATGGAAGATGAAGGACACTGGTTTCTTAGAGCTCACAAGGATTATCACACAATGACGTGTTCTCCCACCTACTAAGAAAGGAGGTGATATAAATGCTTGCAAATCATAAGAGGGAGGGATAGATTCTGGAGGGCTTAAAAGAAAAGGAACTGTATTCTCATCTCCTACATCGAGCTTCACCTTTGGTCCTCACACTAGTCACTTCGTTCCTCTTTTATTAGTGGTCCCTTCCAGGTGCAACATCTGTGAAGAGTCATTTCATGGCGTCGTGGTAAAGAACGTGGGCTCTCAAATCTGGTGCCGCAGTTCAGATCCTTGCTGCACCACTAGACTCTCACCTTGGGCAGGTTGTCTCATCTGCCTGGATCCCAACTTCCCCTTTAGTGAGGTGGAGGTAATAACGGTACCTGTCCCACAGGGTTGTTAGGGAGAATAAGGGGGCCCTGGATCAAAAGCATTTAGCACAATGCTTGGCTCAGCAATGAACTATCAGAGTAAAGCGCCTGAGTGCCTGGTTCTCTCCCGGTGTTCTAGTGGCAGAGACGGAAGCCAGCAGGAGCAGGGAAACTGTCGGGGGTGGAGGGGATATCTAGTAAGTGGAAGAAAGGTATCCTAATTCCATAATTTTGGTTAACGAGAAAGAAAACACTCTACATAATCCTGTGGAAAGTCAGGTTTTAGTCCTAAATCCCACAAACTAATTAGTTAAAACCTTTAGGGAACAAAGTGATTCTTGAGTTATAGATCTAAACTGAGAAAACCTTTCTCCTTTGGTGTTCTTTGTAATATCTGGACAACTAATTTCAAGCAATAGACAGGAAAATGTCCCAGAAATCAAACCCCTGGATGCTGCCTGGTCTGCTGTCCTGCTGGACTTCCCTTGTCCCAAGGCATCCCGGTCACGTGAACAGATTACCCAGTTCGTCCAGTTGGTTGTTTCTGAGAAAACTGTCATGATGTGGTTTTAAAGGGGTTAGAAAATTTTAAATCTCACATTACCCAAACTAAAAACATGGAGGAGTACTCAAAAGTCAAGAATAATTTTAGTGTTCTAGCAAGTACTTTGTGGGAGATTTCATTTTCTTTGTCAGCAAAGCATTAAATGGGAACTAGATTTGCCAGTTCAGAAAAGCCCCTGTTGTATGTCTGTCTGTTGTATGGTTACCCTGAAGCCTAAACACCAGTGTTCATCCTTAAGTAAGTCACACACGCGCAGAAGGGCATTTGCACCATTTTCCTGCCCCGGGCAAGCAGGGGGTGACCCAGGTTTGTCCTTTGTCCCATCCCCACGCGGCTAGTACAGGAAGATGCGGGGGGGAACGGACACCCTTATGGCCCTCAGCCATTTCAGAACTGCCTTGCTCTGGGTGGCCATTTGGGACTCTACAGCCAAAGCCCAGAGTGTGGGCCTGGAGAAATTCTGCAGAGATTCCCGAGTCCTCCGGAGGGCCTGGTGTGTGGGGGCCGTCTGAGCCAGCTCTAGAGTCCGGTTCTAGACTGTTGGTCTGTCACAGATCTTTACCTTTCACAGTTCTCTGTGGGAATCCCAGCCTCACCCAGAACTCTGTTTGACACCCAGCAGTCAGTACGCATCTTCCATGTCCCCTCTTCCTGTGTCCAGACACTACCAGATGGCATCTTCTTGGGGACTTTACCTGGGACTGTACAAATACACCAGCAGTTGAAATGCTGTTGGTATGTACTCGGCCCCAGGGCTTCTTGTCTTGAATGGGAGGCCACTCTACCTGGAACCAGTTTACAACCCAAAAGTCAAGCTATGGGGAGTGAAATTCCTCAGTGACCTGCCCCCAAACGTAAACCCTTGTCTGTTTGCACCCACCCTCTTTCCTGTCCCCCAGGACTAAAGGAACAGACGTCCCCTCTCCAAAGGTCAGCCTCTCCCCCAACCTTGATGCAGCCCCACATCCTCTCCGGTACACTGCTCCATCATTTAGTAACAGTCCTGTGTTTTCAGTCTGTTTCTTTACTGGCTCATCCCCCCCAACAGCTGCAGACACAATCAGATCTCTCCCTACACTGGTGTCCCTCAGCCTTTGATCTCCCTGCAAATGAACTTCCAGTTGCCAAGTCTAGTGGCCTCCCCAGGCTTCACCTCACCTGACCTCTCCTTGGCATCTCATTCAGCTGAGCCCTTTTGTCTTGAAATAATCTCTTCCAAGAGACTATTCTTGCTTCCAAGACTCCTTTCTCTCTTGGTTGCCCTACCATTCCTCTGACCTTCTTCTCCTTATTTCTCTCCTTTTTCCTGCCTTCTTAAATGCTGTTCCTCAGGACCTTGTCCCTGGCCTGTCTTCCTTTCTCCCTGGCGATCTCACCACCTCTGTGACTGCAGTAACCACCTGGATGCTAAAGGCTCCCACATACGTAGGCCCAAATAACCCATGAGCCTAATTTCTGTTAGAAATTCCACCTGGACCTCAATTTGAGAATGTCAAAAAATAAACCACCCATAAACTTCCATTACATCCAGATCACTCGAGCAAAACCCAGTGAACCAGATGCGTAGACCACACCTCTTGCACCTGCACCTCGTGAGCACCGAAGGGCTGTGGTGATAGGGCGTGAGGGCAGTGCAGGCCCTCTCTAGCATCTGCTTATTCTGTGATCACCGGCACTTAGCCCAGGGCCAGGCTGCTCATTAATGCAGAAGGAATGAGTAAATGAATGAGAGAAAATGTTACACAATAGGCTTATGCATTGGAGACTTTGGCTCCTCCAGTCCCACCAGTTGGCAAGACCCTTGCAGCTAAAAATAGCTCTTACTGTCTCATCTGCAAGACTGGCTGACTACACAGTATGTCAGACTAAAAATAGAGCCTCCTGTACTTGGTAAGACTGATCTGGTGTTTTACAGGTTTGACTTTTTTAGATTCCACATGTAAGTGATATCATTTAATAATGGTCTTTCTGTCTCTGATTTAGCTGGTAAATAAGCCATAGGGACCTAATGCACAGTGTAATGAATATAAATAATATTGTGTATAATAATATAACATGATAAATATTGCTTCACAATTATATTGCAATATATAATTTTATCAAAGTAGCAGGCTGTAGACCCTTAATTTGTGAAATATATCAATCACCCTGGCCAGGTGGTGGCTCAGTTGGTTGGAGCATCACCCTGTGCACCAGAAGGTTGCGGATTCAACCGCAACCGCAGCCGGGTCGGCCACGTAGGGGAGACAGCCGATCAATGTTTCTCACATCAGTCTTCCTCTCCCTCTCTCAAAATCAGTGAATATGTCCTCAGGTGAGGATTAAAAAAATGTAACTTATCAAATTTGTCAGATTTTTTCTTAAGTTAGACCAGGGTCTACCCTGTTCCTTGCAGACCCCTGCAAGCCTCTGAAGGCCACTCCTAGTCTGGGCGTGCATAGCAACCCCACAGGAGGTCCCTGCGAAGGGGAACTGTTTTCCCCTCCTCGACTGCCCAAAGCCCAAATTACACCAGCACGTTTTGAAGTTAGTTTTCAACTAACATGATCTACTGGCTGGGAGTAGGTTTCCTGAATTTAGAAAAGGAAATATTATGTTAAAGCACTAACTAGAACAATAAATCAGGAGTTAGTCCACATTTACTTTAAGAGACAATGGTCATGTGTAACCTATGATGAGTGTAACCTTTCACTACAATGAAAAAGTTTCCCAACTTCACAGCTATTTACAGGACGTCTGTCACAGGGGATATAAGGGCGACCTGACTGCAACATGTGTACTCGTGGACGCCATCTGTAAATTCTGTAGGAACCTGGTGGAGAATGTGATTTTAAAAGGTCAGGGTTTGAGACCTAGGCCCGCCATTTACTAGCTACGTGCTACTTAATCTCTCGGCACCTCAGTTAATCTGCAAGATGGTGGTAATATGGGTATCTCCTTAGGCAAGTTCTTCAGATTAAATGACATAGAGCATACAGAATGCTTATCAATGGCAAACTGCCGCTGTTACTGTTCTTAATCACCTGCCCCTTCCCTCCCACCTGTTCACAGGTGCGGTGCTGCCCCTGACCCTGGGTTTGGCCATCACTGTGTTGCTGCTTCTCGTGGTCGCTTGCCGGCTGCGCCTGGTGAAACAGAAACTTAAAAAAGCTCGGCCCATTACATCTGAGGAATCCGACTACCTCATCAACGGGATGTATCTCTGATGAGTGCGGCGGCTTCAGCAGCTGGGGCAAGGACATGTTTCACTTGTAACTGAGATATATATATATGTTGGGTTTTGGATATTTAGAACTTGTTTTTAACTGGGCTAAGGAAGGTACAGAAAACCCAGAAGATTCTACCAGCCCCAAACCTATGCTCTTATTTATCGTAGAAAGATTTTCCTTGGGAAGTATGTGAACTATTTAAATATAGAGTCGTCCATTAAGTTGAAGACTTTTACAAATCGAATTCTAATTTACATAAGCTGTCCCGGAAAAGAGCAATTTGTACTTACCCATGGCAGAAAATTTAGTATCTCAAGGGGTGTCCTTAGAATGGCAGTGTTAATAACCCTTTACTTGTTAGAAGCCAGCCATGGACCCTGGCCACCCTGAGCCCCTCGCCCCCGGCTCCCCCTTGTTCTGTGGCCCTGCAAGTCCTCACTTCAGGCTTCCGTAGCTCTCCTTTCTCTTCTCCCCTTCAAAACCTGTTTCTGAGAATGGATCTCCAGGGAGTTTATTCCTTCCGTGAGATGTTACCTCTAGCAGGAATATCGAAATTATGAACCTCATGCACAGGTCAGTGATGACTCTTGGAAGGTGAACGAATGTGCTTCCCAGCACCTCCGACACATTGTGTGGGCGGCTGCCTCCTTAGGATGACCTTTGGGAGAAAAAGCTCAGACTGAATTACAAGTAGCTCTAACGTGGTCATGAAGTGATACAGGTGGAGTGATCAAGGTGGAGCAGAGAAGCTGGCAGGTCAGTAATTTTAATAGGAACTTAGCCGAGGAAAGAGTGAGCAGAGACTGTTAGTGCTTTATGAACCTACTCCACACTGCCTGACGGTCCACACTGCCTGATGGTCCAGAACACAGCAGCTTTTTCACAGGCACCAGCTTTCACCAGTGGTCTGTGTCCTGGGAGAGGAAAATGCATTTAAGTCAAAAAGCAGAACATTGAGTGGATTTCTGGGTGCCGCTTTTGTAAAAATGCTGTGGCTGTACGTATCAGCGAGTTCTTTCATCCAGTGGAATCAGCTATTTTTCCCATCATTTACATAATGCTATAAAATATTATAACGTGCAATTGGCTAATGCCAGGCTTATCTATTCTCAGAGCATAAAGCAGTTTTGCACAAATTCATCTTTACAGAAAACTGGCATCTAGCTTAGCATCTGTTTCTTTTAATTTGTAGGATTTCAAAGGCAAATTGTTTCCATAATCCCCTAATACCAGAATGATACATTTTCTAGAAATTCTCTTCTGAGTGGATGATAAAGTGACGCCTGCCTGCAGCCACACGCTGTTCCCAGTTACACAACACAGGGTTGGTTCGCTTGTACCTTAAGTGGCAGATCTTTTAAGATTCTTGAAAATACTCCAGAAGACATTATTTTCAGACTGAACCTCAGATCGGTTGTTCCTTTAGCAGAAAAATTAATTTGGGTTGGAAATGTAACCAAATATATTAACAAATAGAAAGTTAGTTCTAGAAAAACAGATAAATTATTTTTATTTCCTAAAACATTCAAGCATTTTGTTGGAAGTCTAGAATTGAGCAAAGACTCAAATTTCTCCTTCAGGGCAGTTCAGGGAAGTGGCAGTGCCGCCGCATCCAGATGTTGGTCCTTCCTTTGAGAACTGTGCCCTTTGTGTTCGACAGCCGCACCCAATAAAGTAAAAACTGCCGAGGTGTGTCTTTCAGCACATCTTTTACAATGAAGAAATTAAACACAATTTAGTATTGCTATCGTGTTGAAATACGTAAGATGTCCCATGTACAATAGTCCAAATAAACCGTATTTTATTCTTAAGTCTTTACAACTTTTTAATATAACCATGAGTTGCCAATACTTACTGAGCGGTACTATCTGCCTGGATTCAGTCATGCCAACTATATTTTACAAAGAAGGAAATGAAGAATTAGAAAAGCAGAATTGAGATCTTCAAAATACATTGTCAGATGGACTGATGGGACTTTTTGAAGTCAACTTACCTGTTGATTATGTGATCGAAGGAGTTCTGCAACTAAGACAATTAAAAATAATTTTAAAGGCCGGGTTGTCCACAGTTTGTCTCTCCACCATGCCCTCCTGTGTCACATCTTTTCCTGAGAAAAGGCTCACTAAAACCATCTTTCTGAAAATGCAGAACTTTTTCCCTTCAACCCTTAGTACAGACTATAACTACCACCTGTGTCCTCACAAGCATTTTAATGTTTCAAGTCACCCGAGTTTCAAATATGTTCTCTTCTGTAGGAAGTAACATAATTCTTTCACCTTTTTCCTACTGACTTTCAAAATATGTGATATGCTCCACCATTCCCTTTCACACCAGCCCACACCTGCTTTCAGTCACTGGTGGCTGCTCACGTTCACTTTACCCTGTGTTCCCGTGACTTGAACAGAGAAGTGCCTGTTTTGACTTGTGCCTCGGTTTCGCTATTCAAGGCAGGGCTTGTCAATGAATTACCTGGGTCTCACCTGTATAAACAGGTACTGCGGTGCAGTGTACCCCAGAACACGGGCCCCATCCTCTTCCTCACGTGTCCTGTCTTCCTCACATACTGATGATGTGTCTGCCACATAAGCATCTGAGCCTGAGATTCTGTAATTTGGGGTCACTATTAAATTATATTGTCCCTGAACAGGTTGTTGTTTTGGTTTTTGCTTCTTTTGAGATTATGCTACTTCACCATCAGAATTATTCCAATTGTTTTCTGGACTCTAGGTTTTCTACCATTGTTGGCATTAAAATTGAATGAGAATTTCTAACAAAAAGCTGCCTAAGCCTAATTAAAAAGGGAAAAGCTTAGTTTCCAGTTTGCTGTTCACAAATGTTCTCATCTTGCTGGCTTTTCCAGAACTGTGTTGCTGACCAATTCTTGGTACTGGCCCCATTTCCCAGCTCTTTGGCCCTACTTGATTCTGGTATTCTAAAGATGAATGCATTTTCCTGGTATAGCGATTTTAATAGCAAACACTTACAGATTCTTTGGCTAAATAAGAAACCATCAAGGAAAAAATAAGGTTAGACACCCTAAAGCTTAAATATGTTCAGGAATGGATTGAATGACCAGAATTGAACCTTCTCCTACATTTGCTTTATTTAGATCTAACTGTGTCTTCCTTGCTACTTACTTTAATTCTCCAAACACATGTTTTGAACCTTGTATGCCACCACACTATAAAATGGAAATGTATCAACTTAAAATATCACTCGGCTTAAGTATATTTTTATAGTCATTTCACAACTTAGGAAACTTCTCAAAACAAATATGAATACAAAAAGTATTTTAACTTTTACCAAAAAGCTTAAAATTGTGTTGAGTATATTGACTTAAAAAAAATGTCCTCTCTCCAAAAATAATCATCAAACCACCATGTTTAAATGACACGTTACATCAGGTGGATTTGATATTTTCAGAGGATTATACCCCCAAACTACAGGAAATACATTTTTTTTCAAGTCCACATGGAACATTTTCCAGGTCAGACCATATGTTAGGCCATAAAACAAGCCTCCATACATTTAAGACTGAAATAATTTCAAGCATCTTCTCTGACTACATCAGTATGAAGCTAGAAATCAAGTACAAGAAAAAAATGAACACCCAAACCTAAGGAGTCTAAATAACATGCTCCTAAACAGTGAATGGGTAACAATAAGACCAAGGAAGTAATCCAGATATAACTTGAGACAAATGAAAATAACACAACCACCACCAATCTTGAAAGTAGTCCTGAGAGAAATCCATAGCAATACTGGCCTGCCTCAAGAAACAAAGAAAGGACAGCAAACTCACAGTTATCAACAACCACACCTAAAACAAAAGCAAATTAAGAGGACAGCTAGATCAGGAGTGAACCATAGAAATGAAGATCACGTGGAGGATTAGCAACAGGGGAGTGGGAAAAGGAGAAGGGGGGAGAAGGTACAGAAAATAAGTAGCATAGACAGTAGATAGAAAATAGATAGGGGGGAGGGCAAGAATAGTAGGGGAAATACAGAATCTAAAGAACTTGAGACACGTGTTCATGAACTAAAGGGGGGAATGGTGGGGGAGGGGTATGCAGGGTGGAGGGGAATGGGGGGAATAGAACAAATGTAATGGCATAATCAATAAAAAATGTTAAAAAAATAATAATAATAGCTAAAAAAAAGAAAGAAAATCTCAAATTAACAGTCTACACCTAAAGGAACTAGAAAGAGAACAATAAAGTTCAAAGTGAGTAGAAGGAAGAAAATACTAAAGATCACAGCAGAAATAAATAAGAATCTAAAAAACCAACAGAGAAGACCAATGAAACCAAGATCTACTTCTTTGAGAAGATAAACTTAAGAGCAATAAACCTTTAATCAAACTCATCAAGAAAAAAAAGTATAAATAAAATCCTAGAAAATATAAGCTCCCAAGATTGAATCAAGAGAAAACAGAAAATCTGAACAGACCAATTACAAACAACGAAATTGAAGCAATACCCAAAACACTCCTAATAAACAAAAGTCAATGACTGAATGGCTTCACAGGTGAATTTTACCAGATGTTAAAAGAACTAATACCTATCCTCCAGTTGCAAGAGGAGGGAAGACTCTCAAGCTCATTTTATGAGGATAGTATCCTGACTGCAAAACCAGGTAAAGACATTACAAAGAAAGAAAATTATACGCCAATATCCCTAATGTACATATATGCAAAAATCCTCAACAAAACACTAACAAACCAAATTCAGCAATACATTAAAAAGATTACACACCATGATCAAGTGGGATTTATTTCTAGGGTGCAAGGATGGCTGAACATCTGCAAATCAACTAATGTGGCACACTGCATAAACAAAAGGAAGAATAACAATCATATGACCATATCAATAGATGCAGAAAAACATTTGACAAAATCCAGCACCCATTTATGATAAAAACTCTTAGCAAAGTGGGAACAGGGGGAACATATCTCAACATAATAAAGCTACATATAACAAGTCCACAGATATCATACTCAACAGGGAAAAACATGTTTCCCTGAAGATCAGGAACAAGATGGGATGTCTGCTTTCACCACACCTACTCCACATAGTACAGGACGTCTTAGCCTCAGCAATCAGAGAAAAAGAAAATAAAAGGTATCTAAATCAGAAAGAAAGAAGTGAAACTCATTATCTAAAGACATGATACTGTACACAGAGAATCCTAATTTCCACCAACAAGCTACTAGAACTGATAAATGAATTCAGTAAAGTAGCAGGATACAAAACAAACACAGAAACCAATTGCATTATCATATACCTAAAATTAACTATAGCAAAGGGAAACTAAGAAAACAATCCCACTTACAACTGCACCAAAAAACAAAACAAATACCTAAGAATAAATTTAACCAATGAGATAAAAGACCTGTACTTGAAAAATTATAAGACCTTGAAGAAAGAAATTGAAGAAGATACTAATAAATGGAAGCATATACCATGCTCATGGATAAAGAGGATTAATATCATTAAACCGTCCAAGGCAATTTATATATTCAACACAATTCCTATCAAGATACCAATGGTATTTTTCACAGAACTAGAACAAATCCAAAAATTTGTATGGGAACACAAAAGATTTGCATAGCAACAGCAATCTTGAAAAAGAACAAAGTCCAAGGAATCATACCACCTAATATGAAACTATATTACAAGGCCACAGTTATGAAAACATGGTTTCTCAAAAGACATGAGTTCTTTTACTGCTATACCAAGTTACTAGAAATTTGTTAACATTTAGCTGAAAACTAGAAGCACCCATCTCTCTAGTGAAAAAATATTAGGGAGCCTTATTTCCTGGCCAACAATCAGATGCCAAAAATGTCTGCCAAAAATTCATGAGTTTTAAGTTATTAAAAAAAGTTATTCCATTTTAAACTATATTGAATTTTTAAAAAGACTATTTTTAGAGAGAGGGGAAGGGAAGGAGAAAGAGAGGAAGAGAAACATCAATGTGTGGTTGCCTCTCATGTGCCCCGACCTGAGGACCTGGCCTGCAGTCCAGGCATGTGCCCTGACTGGGAACCGAACCAACAACCCTTAGGTTTGCAGGCTGGCACTCAATCTACCAAGCCACACCAGCCAGGGCAAATATATTGAATTTTTAAGATGCTGTAGTAGAAGTACATGATAGTCAATTTAAAAAGTGTAATCAACTTTTTTTAGACAATGAATTTTTTAAATTATGGCAATGGGAATTTAAATATTTGCATGGACAGTGTCAGTGGGTTTTTTTTCCTTCAAATGTCACTTTTTTCCCCTAATGTTACTAGTTGGGAAAGAGTTGAAACCCTCATTAGAAACTCAAATTCTTAATTTTAGTTCTTTAGAGCTAGAGAGCTAGATTAGTCCTTGAATAAAATCAGATCTGTAAAAAGGGCCTTGTTTCAATAGGATCTCACTAGACTGGAACTTGTAAAAATATTTTAATTCTTGCCCTTCATGTTATTAAGGAAAAATAAAATTCTAAAATATTTTAGAAAGTATGAATAGAACAACTGTAATGGCATAATCAATAAAATTAAAATTAAAAAAAGAAAGTATGAATAGCAAAGATTAAAGAAATTTGCTGTCTTTGACCAGCACACATATATAAACTCAAATGTCATGAAGAGAAAAGCTGTTGAACCTAGTTAAAATTATTCCCATCTCTACCCATTTATATATGCACCCTTAATAACCACTCCTATTTATTCAATATTTTAACATTTTAATTCCCCAAAGTGTAAAGTTCAAGAGCAATGCTTGGCATGGTATTTGTCCGTACCAATTAGGCGGTACTTTGTCCTGTCAGATTTACACACTGTCCTTTCAATGAAACTGTAAATTCACTGAGAGTAAAACCCTTTTTCTATCCTGGCACCTTAACAGAGTTTCACATATAATGCAATGCTGATAATGGCTATGACGGGTACAGACTAGTGGGTAAGTTTAAGAATCAATTTAATTTAATCTTAAGCTGTAAAGAATAGTCAACCTTTGAAACAAACTCAAATGACACCGAGTCCTGGACACAAGGGTCCATGGCCCGG